AGAGATCAGATGTAAATAATTACTGAATTTTAGTTAATACCTAACACAAGGTATGGAATGCCAAGTTCACTGTCCAAAACCAGTAATCCTCAGATCTGTGTTATGATGCATGAAAACCTGTACATAACCTGAAGGAAAATGCATTCCCTGGTATCATCTGTGCATAATCATAGTTCAGGATGTAGCAAATTCACCCCTCACACATCAGAGGCTTTAATTATGCTCTAGGGAGGCCAGACTTTCCAGACCAAACCTGCTACACTGGACATTCTTAATGAATTTACTGCTCATTAATGAGGTTGTATGATAATGGAATTTCAGCTGAATTCATGGATTTGGTGGATTTAAACAATTTTAGATGTGAAAATAAACATAACTGTCACATTAACTCGACTAATTTTCTTTCATACAGTATATACACGAATAACCCTGTTTAATATGTATATGCTAATATAAACATTTAATTTATGTCAGATGAATCTTTGGGAATTGCAGCATAGTGTGCATCGTGCTTAGCTTACATTGAAGTCTAAAGTATTTACTATTTTCTGCACTTTTTGGAATTTTACTTTTTAAATGTTTTTACAACGGAAATGGAGACAGTGGAAAGGAGAGCGTGGGAAAAAAACATGCAAAATAGGAAATTCAAAATAAACTAGCTAATTCAAAAGACAGACCAAAAAGTTTAAAACAAATGCAGTGAAAACTTCTAAATATCTGCTGTAGAGAAATATTTGAATGTCTTTGAAAATTAAAATTATGTGAAGTTTCCGATTCATAAAATAACAAAGGAGACACAATGGAGAAAATATGCACGATTACTATATAATACTCAAGTGATTCAGAAAAGCTGTTAAATACCCATTGGGATCTGAAAAAAAGAGCGTTTTACTGCAAATTAAACTAGGCATAAAAGGAGTTTCTTGTTTAAAAAAATAGCATGTTGATATTATAGAGAAAACAGGACCAGACAAGGAGTTAAGAACAACAATATGCTGCCAAGCACTTTAGAAAAGGCATCACCAAAAGTCCTTGTCTGTCCTTGAAAAAAGTCAGGAAAAGGTGCTTGTGATTCTTGTGATTAGCAATGTGAATCATAGCCTGAAATGTATACTTTGATGAAATATGGAGGTACAGTGTGAAATGTAAAACTATAACAAGTACTGTAAAGTATATACAGCACAAGAAACAAAAAAAAAGTAATGCTCTCTTTTAAGGGTCTAATATCTCAGGCCTACTTCTGAAAGGATATTAAAGATGCCTTTCAAATTTCTTAAATTGAAATAGGTGTGTCCTAACTCATTATTAAATAGATTTAACATCAAAGCAATTTTTAACATTCCACTTTCACAATGTATGATAATATACCTGTACAGTACATATGAAAACAAGGAAATGCCTTCTGACTATTAAAATGTTGGGACAAACCTCACAGTGGCATGTATTTGGCTACACTTATGTTATATAATTACAGGCTGCAGTGCCTTTCTTTCTTTGGAAAATTACAGCCATCTAGAAGGCCAAGGAAAACTCTTTATTTACAACATTTATGAGACTGTAGACATTTAGATAATTTAAATAGCACACTTATGGCTTGGGGCTTCACAAACATACCTGAGAAAGAAAAACAACCCAGTAAGAGGCTAAGAGTTCAGGATTGAAGTGAATGAAAAACTCATCATAAACTAATCATAAACTTTATTGCCTCGGACACAACGAGTGCCTCGTGGCAAACATGAAGAAAAAGTAAGTGTAACGGAAGTAAATATTTAAAACACAGTGCTCAGGTATCAAGTCTTGGTTTTTCTGGACACAATAAACTCAGCAGCGATAAGATTTCTGAAATAAATTGTATTTTTTAATCATGCTGTTAGCAAATAGTATTTAACAAAAGTTTGACCCTTCCATCCCATCTCCTTTTAATTTAATTAGATATGAGGCTCTCTTTATACCTGAAACACATCAATAACTCATTACTTCTTACTGCAATGACATACGAGAATATTTACTTTACTTCTTTATTAAGTATTTACTTTCCAGAACACTTTTTTCTTACCATAATAAACAGCTTCAGATGTTATTTTATACTTAACGGAGATAAAGGATAAAACCTACAGTATCTTACTGACTTGCTCATTCTGGTCACTTGCTAGCTCAGAGAGGACACAGTGTTGCTCCCTAGACATCAGCTAATTCCGCTGAGTGAAAAACAAAATGGTCTTGTCAGGGTCTTTTGGAAAACTGGCCTGCAGAATTCTATACCATCTAGGTTTTCCAGGGAGTGATGTCATTTCTATCGCATTCACTGCACGGAGCTTCGTTACACAGACAGTATAGGCCAGTTGGAGATTATACAAAGAAATTCTTAAACACTACCATCATTGTTGAACTGTACCATAAATAAAGCAGTATTCATTGTATATTATTATATATTGAAAGCGCGTTTCACTGTAGTTATGAGCATGTTGCAATTAAGTGTTCCAGTATCTCCATGGCCCCTTGTACTGTATATGCACTCTCTCGTGCATGCTGAGCTCCAGCACCATGTGCTTTACAAATTAAGCACTGGCTGCAAGCCACAGGAGTTTCTGTTGTATGCTAAGCCATAGCCAACACATAAGACTACTGTTTACGGACTCCTGATCAGTTTTCAGATAAGTTAGCCCAGCCTTAAACTGGCTGTAGACTGTAAGGATCAGAATGTTGAGTAGATCAGGAGTATAAATTGCTCGGTCAGAACTGCAGGGCTGTTGATCATTACCAACTAGAGCAACACCTGTTAGCAAATATCCTGTAGCTCATTTCAGGTAGTCTCTGCAAGAGCCAAATTCTTCCCTGATTATCTGGGGAGATTGAGTTGCTATATACTGTAAGGGCACTGAACCTGTCTGGATGGGACTTCAGAACTGTGGACATCATGGGTCCTTTGTGTATACCCTTCGTGGACACAATGTCAGGGAAGGAGCTTTGTGATATATAAATCACAATTTCATGCTCCCTAGTGGCGTAAGTATACGAGTGGTGTAAGAATACAGCCGCCCTCCTGGAAGACTGATGGTACAACCCTGGAGACCCTGGGATTAAATGGAAAGTCTAGCAGTTAGACAGGTCTGATGCTACTTGTATTTATAGGCAGTCACTACATTTCACCTCTTTACCTTTTGTTTCAGCAACGCAGACTGATGGAAACCGATTCCATCAATCCCATCAATGTGACACACTGTACACTGTGCATTTGATGACTTATCAGGGATATGGGTACATACGTCACCATTCAGACAATAAAGTACTGTCGAAAAATAACCGAAGGACAGTAGTTAGCATCGCTGTCTTGCAGTTCTAGGGCTCTGGGTTCAATTCTGGACCATGAGTGCTATACAATTTGTATCATCTTGTATCATCTCCACATGTTCATGCGGGTTTCCTCAGGTGCTCCAGTTTCCTCTCACAGTCCAAAGACAAACAGGTACGTTAATGGACTTCTATAAAATTGGCCCTAGGTGTGTGTGTGTGTGTGTGTCTGTGTCTGTGCCCTGCGATGGACTGGCACCCATTTAATTCTAGGGTGTACCCAGCCTCGTGTCTGCTGCTTGCCAGAGCAGGCTCCAGCTCCGTGACCCAGAATTCAAAGAAGGGGTTCGAAAATATTTGAATATTTGCAATTAAATATCATACCCCACCACACACATATACTGTGCATCATGTTACTCTGCAATTGATACAAAGTACTGTTTCAGAGAAAGGAGCCGTTTTTGCTACAAATAGGCTGTGGGTAAAGAAAAACACGATCATTAAAAAAAAAACAAAAAATGGATGAAATATTTCATTCGCCTCTTCAAGAATGGCCCTTGGGCTAAAAAGAAGACCTTGAAGCACGGCTGCAGCAGATGTTCAGTATTAGCTGCTAATTGCACTTAACAACGATGTAATTACAAACTCGACTCCACTCCACCAAGTGACATGAAAATATCCATTACATCAGAACAAACCCAGTGCTTCTTCATGGAATAATTGCCGTTCTGCCTCTGCCTTGCCAAATGAAGTGGTAATTAACCTTAATTTTGAAACAGCAACTGGGTATTATCACTGGATTTATCAAGGGGATTAAATATTGCTAAATTACTTAATTTGACAAAATGAGGGGGTTTGGGGGTTCCAGTAATATATTTAAGAGCCTGGGGCTGATTTCTATTGTCATATCCCAGCTAAGCATTAAATTATATCAAAGGCTTACATAAATGAAGACTAGAGGTTTTATTGAAGTGTTCCTGTGGTAGGCCTTTTGAAAACAGATTAACATTATAGGATGAAACAAAACACTCTGCCTTTTTCGCACAAAAGATTTTGGAGGCCTTAGTTTTACACTCAGAAACACATCCTGTGTTTATGAAGTAAAGCAAGATTCCAACCAAATGCCAAATGGGGAATTCCTGGAAAAAAAAATACATTTAAACAGAAGAAAGAAAATAAATGCACACAAAGAAAACTGGAGGATTGTTTAGAAAACGTAGCAAAATTAGTGAGAAAAATGTTGAATTTTTCAAAAACACTTTTACCATGGAAATAAGCTAAATTACATGTAAAAGAAACTGAAATGAGATGCTTTCAATAAGCAAAATAACTGGAATCTTTCTGCAACTTCTGCTGAACAAGGGTTTAGTTGCCAACATAATATGTTTAAAATACTGAAATGTGACCAGGCAAATCTGCTGTTGAAGAGATCTGCACGCCAAAGAGACAGTTCAATACCAGCAAAACTTTCCACAAACAAATGCAAATGTTTTCTCCTTCTGAAGGCTGCTTTGTGTATAACATTTTGAAAAACATGGTGCCTTTAGTCAATGATCATATACATTTCTGCACATTTCTATGTGTTCAAAAAAGATGGGACTCATACTGGACTAACATGGCTCTTGTTTCTGCACGATCTGTAAAATACAGAGCATAGGATCTGAAACCGATTTCAAGTAGTAAAAGATCATAGCTGCAATAATGCTCACCTGGCCTTCATGTTGATAATCCTGCCCGGGAAGATTATAGAGGAGCTTGTTCTGATCCTCTAGATTGTGCTGGTGATGGCTGTGCTGTCCTTCCATAGTAACATGCCACTGAGAGCTTTGAAACCTGCAGAAAAGAGACCACAAAACAATGTTAACTGCAAAAGAAAAATAGTTGGCTGAATATAATTTTAAAAATACAGAATCCCAGAAAACATCAATGTAGAAGTAGAAAAATAAAAATGTTGCTACTCTATTACAGGATGTTAAAGTCCCTTTGTACACTAGTGAAATCTGTGACTATTCATTAATACACCCTATAATAGTAACAAAACACAACAAATGAACAAATGAATATGTTATAATCAAGGGACAAACAATGTTTTACATGTGTTTAAAAATCGATGCAAGGACATTGAGTTTTTTTTGCTAATATATACGCTTTATAGGGAAATGGTAACATACTGTAGCTGAAGTATGAAAACAACTATATAAGAAAGGAATGGAAACAGTACTACAGAACCTTTCTTGTTACTCATAGCAACACATTTAACAGTCAATGAAGCCTAACCTTTACTGGATTAACATTAATGCCATGTTATTACCACTGACTAGAAGAGTGTTTTTTTCTGGCTAGGCTTGGAGTATCTGAAACAGGAAATGAATTCAACCATGTTCTTTAATGGCACACCAAGCACTGCGTGACTCATTCTTCTGGAGTGTGCTGCTTAAAAAAGTATTTTCTCAACTTAGTGGCCAATTTTTCATTGCTTTTCACAAAAACAATGAGGAACACTGCATTATAAGTCCACATGTCATTAAATGTCCATGACTAGCTTAAAATATGTTACCTTATCCATCTCTGGCACACATAATGCATTCTTCATGTGCTCTTAAAAGTGTCTTAAAAGAATAAACAATGGCAAAGTCCTGCTAAAACTCAGCCATGCTGGAAATCGGAGCTTGGAAAGGTCTGACACTTCCCTTTTCATGAGGGAGGGAAAACACATTGGAGCCAGGTCAGGTCTGCATACTAAAGCAACTCCTGCTGAGCTGAAAGATTACTGGAAAAAACAGAAACGAACAAGTGTATCGCCACTCTCCCGGGTTTTTAAAGCTCTGCAGCATGAAAGTTAGCTTTATCAGTGAATAGCAGCAAAGTGGTTATAGAGTGCAAACAGACTGACACCAGAAAACTGTCCACCATAATAAAAATGCAAAAAATGCCAAGGCCGATCTCTGGAAATAATGAAGTAAGATCTAATGTTCCCATTTTCTAATGCATACTCAGATTACTGTCAATTGCAAAGACTTATTATCAGCTGATTTCCTCCTTTTATGTGCTAGAAAGCAGTACAGGTTTTGAATACATAAGCAAAATGTAGATTAACTGAAAAAAAACTAAATTGCATCTCAACAAATCTGATGACTTCGCAAACTTGTCTTTCCCTGATCTCTTTTTGATTATGAAAACAACTGACTGTGACAGCAGATTTGTAAACCTCACAGCGATGGTATATCCACCTGGTTCACAATTAGACATCTCTGGTCTCTTACTTTATTCCTAATGTTCAAATAAGCACATTTTGATTTGGAAGTCAGCGATAAAACAAAGGTGCCCTTCTCCTTTCTAATGAAAATCACAAGCCAAAAGAAATAAAAAAGGCAATAAAGGCACTGCAGAACCATACTGTTTTCCTAAACTGGAAACTTTGTTTGCTTGAAGACAAAAGTGTTTGCCACAGAAATCCATTTAGAAGGTTAGCTTGATACATAAAGTTCAGGATTGTCAAGCAAACACAACTGAGCCATCCATGAACCCAAACAAAAATCCAATAACATAATTTTGCTCCCTCCCCGGAAAACACAAACAAAATGATCAATACATTTGTTTTCCCTTTTCCATAAGGAAAAGGCCGCCCCACGTAGTTAACTGGTTGACTGGCCGGAGAAGAATCTGTATTCATGTGCTTAATCAGTCGTTTGTTCCATCTCTGACAAACACTACAGGAAGGCACTGATAGCAATTAAAATAGGAGAGAAGAGAGTTCTCACTACATCACAGTTCTCCTGAAACTGCTGTTTCATTACAACACCAGCATCCTACCCCACACACCTCTGAGAAAAACAAACTAGTTTAACTTGCTTTTTCCCCCCACTAAGAAACTTACATAGATGGATATGCAAGCAGATTTAAGCAATAATATGCCTCAATTATTTGTAATGTTACTGAGTCAATGTTACTGTCAGAGATGGTCCTGGAAATATGAGTGCTGATATACTTTTTAGACCATTAAAATGCTCAAACAAATAAAGCTACTAAGATTAAGCTTTTTAATTAACACATTTAAAAGTCATTTTCATTTCAGCCTTTTTTATAACACTTAATTCAAAAATTTCTTTGCCATTGTTCTACATGAAGAATATCTGTAGATAGCAGGGTATGGTTTCAAACTCAGATTTTTTCTTGATCATCCAGAGAAGAAAGGCTTTTTTTTCTATAACAGTAGAACAGACATGCTGATGTAGCTTTTGTCTTTTTATTTGCCAAAAAGTAAAAGCTTAAAAACCACTAAACGTGCCACTTAACAGGATTCACCCAATGATTAATTACAAAGACATTACATGAACTAGAGAAATAGTCCATTTTACATTTTGTTAAGCTGTGCCTATGGACATAACCGAATGACTATTCTAAGTCTTCTTGTCACAGTTACATACTTTAACAACATCTGTTTTAGAAAATGTGGTTTTGGACTGCGATTAAAAAATCATGGGTGCAGAAAAGCAAATTCTAACACATCTGACTTGGCAATTTCTCACATCGCTTTTTTTAGGACAGATGAAGCAAGGCTTTGGGTTTGGAAAGGCGCTTTAGGAATAAAAGTTATTATTAAGTATGATGCTAGACATGGATAAACATTGGACATGGACATGGTGATATGGATAACTGCTGCAAATAACTGTTGCAATATTCGTGAGCTCAAATACCACTTATGTTTTTCAACACTGTTTCCACACAGTCACCCTTTTCAGTTATACAGTACTGCACATAGCTCTCCTCGCTATTAGACATCTCATCCTATTAGACATGCTCTAAAATAAAACATGTACGTTTTGTATGTTGGTTTGCTGTAGCTACAGGTCGAAAGGGCTGTGATAGCAAGAAAATAAGTATTGTTTGGCTAGGTTTACACCTTTTTCATCCCAATAAGGAAGAAACCAAATAAGTAACAAGGATATTTTATGGTATGAATACCAGCTTTAAGGACAGCAAGGTGCTGTTAGCTTTGCAGCCTTACAGTGATGAGGCCCTGTGTTCAATTCCTGGGGTGCTGTCTGTGTGGAGTTTGCATGTTCTCCTTGTGTTTGTGTGGGTTTCCTCCAGATGCTCAGGTTTCCTCCCATGGTCCAAAAACATGCTGGTAGATTAACTGGATTCCGGTGTGAGTGTGTGTGTGTGTGTGTGTCTGTGTGTGTGTCTGTGTGTGTGTGTGTGTGTGTGTGTGTGTGTGTGT